GAGACCACACACTCAAATGGACCCACTCAGCGCTGTCAATGAATAAAAGTACAGTGTAGGTTAGTAAATGAGTAACAGTACAATATACGTTAGTATATCAATAGTACAATGTTGGTATATCAATAGTGCAATGTACGTTAGTGTATGAATCACAGTACAATATACGTTAGTATAGGAATAACAGTACAGTATACGTTAGCATAGGAATAACAGTACAATGTACGTTAGTATATCAATAGCAGTACAATGTACGTTAGTATATATATAACAATACAATATATGTTAATATATATATAACAGTACAATGTACGTTAGTATATATATAACAATACAATATATGTTAATATATATATAACAGTACAATGTACGTTAGTATATATATAACAATACAATATACCTTAATATATATATATATCAGTACAATGTACGTTAGTATATATATAATAATATAATATACGTTAGTATATATATAACAATACAATATACGTTTGTATATATATAACAGTACAATGTGCGATAGTATATATACAACAATACAATATACGTTAGTATATATATAACAATACAATATACGTTAGTATATATATAACAGTAATGTACGTTAGTATATATATAACAATACAATATACGTTAGTATATATGTAACAGTACAATGTACGTTAGTCTATATATAACAGTACAACGTACGTTTTTACACCTATGCAAGTATGAGGTAAATGCGCATATGTAAACCGAATCGGATCACAACCTTGCAGAGTAGCGTCTTTCTGGTGGCAGAGATACTATCACATATATCTGAGTGTACCTGTGTACGTTTGTGTGCATGCACACACATATCACCCAACGCTTGCTATAGAGAATTACTATCACGTATGTTTATTGAGTAGTAACATGCACATACATACATGCACAAGTCTTTAGATGGATAGCATTGGATCTCACTCTGTACACGGCTGCGCTCTCACTCACAGACTGTCACGTACAAAAGCGACCACTATGTTAATCTCAATGGTATTACCATCACATACATTCATAGACGTTCACATACATTCGCATACATTCATAGACGTTCACATACATTCACATACATTCATAGACGTTCGCATACATTCACATACTACATTCACATACATTCATAGACGTTCACATACATTCACATACATTCATAGATGTTCACATACATTCACATATATTCATAGACGTTCACATACATTCACATACTTTCATAGACGTTCACATACATTCACATACAACATTCACATACATTCATAGACGTTCACATATATGCACATACTTTCATAGACGTTCACATACATTCACATACATTCATAGACGTTCACATACATTCGCATACATTCATAGACGTTCACATACATTCACATACATTCATAGACGTTCACATACATTCACATACATTCATAGACGTTCACATACATTCACATACTACATTCACATACATTCATAGGCGTTCACATACATGCACATACATTCATAGACGTTCACATACATTCACATACATTCATAGATGTTCACGTACATTCACATATGTTCATAGACGTTCACATACATTCACATACATTCATAGAGTTCACATACATTCATAGATGTTCACGTACATTCACATATGTTCATAGACGTTCACATACATTCACATACATTCATAGAGTTCACATACATTCACATGCATTCATAGACGTTCACATACATGCACATACATTCAAATACATCAAGCTTGTTGGTATTGTAATTGATATCCATACTGACTACGCCCAAGTGCTTGGGGTTATGCCCTGGAAAAAGGGTGCAAGTAGGGTTTTAGGGTTTAAACCTCTATACATCAAAGAAACGTGTGCATGTATATACACACACATGTACGTGTCGGTGAATGGTCATACACATACATTAAATAACCCTATGCACACACATAAACACGCATACACATACACTCAATAAGCTTTACATGTGTATGTGTGTGTGTACTTACACACACACCCATACACGTACACTTTATAACCCTGTACATATGTATGTGTGCGTGTACTTACATACACACCCTACACGTGCACTTTATAACCCTGTACATATGTATGTGTGCGTGTACTTACATACACACCCATATAAACATATATACACATACACATCCATATACACACATATAACCAAATATACACATGCACACCCATATACACACATATAAACATATATACACATACACACCCATATACACACATATAAACATATATACACATCCACACCCATATACACACATATAAACTTATATACACATACACACCCATATACACACATATAAACATATATACACATACACACCCATATACACACATATAAACATATATACACATACACACCCATATACACACACATAAACATATATACACATACACATCCATATACACACATATAAACATATATACACATACACACCCATATACACAAATAGAATGTCCCAACAGACCCACACCGCCAAACAGCGGCATGAGCCTCACCACAACGTCCGCAGAGTTATCGGCAAATGCTCACCTGCACGTTATGAGCGAACCATCTGTGGTATGTAGCACAGATTGTGGTATGATCAGATTGTGTATATCGTCTCCTCATTGCTTTGTGGTATGTAGCACAGATTGTGATGTAATCAGATTGTGTGTATCGGTTATGAGCGAACCATCTGTGGTATGTAGCACAGATTGTGGTATGATCAGATTGTGTATATCGTCTCTGCATTGCTTAAGGACGCCTCTAGGGTGATATGCGTGTGTACCTACTACTTTGTGTGGATGTTATGACTTGGTTGTGTGAATGTTATGCATGTGTACCTACTTCTTTGTGTGGATGTTATGACTTGGTTGTGTGGATGTTATGCATGTGTACCTACTTCTTTGTGTGGATGTTATGACTTGGTTGTGTGGATGTTATGCATGTGTACATACTTCTTTGTGTGGATGTTATGACTTGGTTGTGTGGATGTTATGCATGTGTACCTACTTCTTTGTGTGGATGTTATGACTTGGTTGTGTGGATGTTATGCATGTGTATATCCCACCTCTCTTTCTGGTACTGACAGTCGTACTGTGTAGTGTGATATGCTGTGTTGATTGCTACTGTATTCGCTTACATCCACGGCATCACTCCACATACGACACACATTGAAGACCACACGCGCGCACCAAATGTACATGCACGCCTCCATGCACATACACTTACATGTACAAGTATATGTACATATACATGTAGATGTACATACACATACATGTACATGTATATGTATATATACATGTAGATGTACATACACATACATGTACATGTACATGCTCAGATATTCTTATGTTTCTCTGCCGAAGAGATATCTTCAGTGCCACTCACTGGGGGTGCTAGGTGTTGGGGGGTTGTCTTGTCATTCGTATGTTGTAGCTGTCAACTGCAATCGCATTTGTTCCAGAGATCAAGAAGGTCTGTCAAACACGCCGGCATGTACAACAACTGCATAGCGTACATAAGCTAAATGTATGTATGTATGTATATATATATATATATATATATATTCCTCAGATGTACTTGCTGTGGCTTCGAGAGTCAAACCGGCTGTGTTGATTGATCAGATCGCTGTCGATGCTGAGCAACTGCGACGCTTTCTGCGCCTATTGCAATATGTATGTCTGCATGCATGCACCGGGTCTTTAGGGTTTGCTAAACCCCTAAATCTAGCATGAATGGGGGGTTAGTCTTGTGTTTACATGCATGTATAGGGGTTTGGACTTTGCTCTATGAGACTGTTGGTGTCTTGTATATAAACACAATAAAACAACGCTTGTTCTGGATTTTCAGATGTGATCTATAAATAACTTTGTTGGACTAGGTTAGTTCATTTCGGAAGTTTAATGCAATTCAATCCCAGGGGTACTACGTGTTAGTGTCTTATAGTATATCGTTCGGAAAAAATACACATACAGAATTAATATGTATATATATATATATTAGTGTGTGTGTGTGTGTGTGTGTGTGTATATGTATATATATATATATGTATATATATATATTATGATTGCACTTGGGCTGGGAGAGAGATATCCATTATCTATGTAACACAGTCTAACACTGTTGGTCCCACCCATACCGATGAGAACTCGCATAACCCTATTTGACATAACTTTGGCCAGAATTGGATAATCCGATTGATAAAATTGGCAATATGACTAAAAGCTTTTCCGAGCCTTCCAAACCCTAAACCCTAAACCCCAATCCTAAACCCTATATTGATCTGCATCAGCCTCTAATAGTCGTCTGCTGGTAGCACATCTCATAGGTAGTACACTCAGTTCACTGGCCACACTATAACTACTTATACAAGTCTCACCTCCCGAGCCTTCCAAACCCTAAACCCTAAATACTAACCCTATATTGATCTGCGTTAGCTTTGAATATGTGTGTAGGCGAGATGTTCGTGTTGTGTATAGTACACCCTGGTACCACACCAACTATAAGGCGAATGTTCGGTACTCAACTATAAGGCAAACATTCGGTACTTATCTATAAGGCGAATGTTCGGTACTTATCTATAAGGCGAATATTCGATACTTAATATAAGGCAAATGTTCGGTACTTAGCAATAAGGCGAGTGTTCAGTACTTATAGGCTCAGATTTTCAGCCACTTCCATATCACTATTCTGCTACTTCTCTCGGATACCATAGTCCCATAGGCATTCACGTGCCTGTCGTAATAAAAGGACTGTACACCTACTACTCACCAACACAAAAACGGGACTACGTTGCACCTCTTGTCCTATTTTGGGTGCATGGTACTGCTGATAACACACTCTCACCAATACCAACCCACTGACATACATTTACCTGCCGTAGTAAAAGGACTGTACACCTACTACTCACCAACACAAAAATGGGACTGCATTGCACCTCTTGTCCTATTTTAGGTGCATGGTACTGCTAATATCACCCTCTCACCAATACCAACCCACTGACATCCATGCCCTGTCCTGTCCTTTCCTGTCCTGTCCTTTCCTGTCCTGTCCTGTCCTGTCCTGTCTTGTCCTGTCCTGGCCATTCGGGTCACCAGAGCTTTGCCTGTGTATCGCTGAAGGACCTCATGATTGTCAGTCTGGGTGAGCTGGGAGCCCTGTTTGTGGTACACTCGAGCGCAGTAGTGGATATGCAAACGAAGTTCGGTACATGTGCGACGACGCTTGGTGGTATGTGTTTGAGGATCTAAGGATTGAATTTTTTTAAGATCAAAGTTTTGAGTATGTATGACTTGAGTTTTTAAGTTTTACAAGACGCAACATAAGGATGTAAAGTCACAACTTTGTACGTACTACTAGACTTGAAATATGTAAGACTCGGCTTATGTAAGACTAAACTTTATATATATATATATATATATATATATATATATATGTCTGTATATATGTGTGTGTATATATATATATATATATATATATATAGTATATATAGATATATATATATATATATATATATATATATATATATAGTATATATATATATATATATAGTAGTGTGTGTGTGTGTGTGTGTAGTA